AGGAGTGGGACCAGGAGCGATCCACCTCAGCAGGAGTGGGACCAGGATCGATCCACCTCAGCAGGAGTGGGCCCGGGAGCCTGACCTGCTCAGCAGGAGTGGGCCCAGGGGCCTGACCTGCTCAGCAGGAGTGGGCCCAGGGGCCTGACATGCTCAGCAGGAGTGGGACCAGGAGCGATCCACCTCTTCTCCGGGGCTGCACCCTGCACAAACCCACCCTCTCCCTATGATTTGCCTTGGACCCTTTCAGAACATATCACACTGCCTGTCATCATGCATCTCCTGTTAGGACAGAGGGAGACCCTGCAGGTCACCTGGCCCAAGCCCCTCAGTGTGGGGAAAAGAAACTGAGACCCAGCAGGAATGAAGCTGCCCCAAGACCCAGCTCCTGCCTCTCTTGGTCCCACACTAGAACCACTGTTTAAATAAAGTCCCCCCCTCCCAAAGCTACCCCTGCTCCCCAACCCCAGCAGGGTCTCGCATCCAAGGGGCTTACTGGTCAGGGCCCAGGCAGGTGTCATGTGCCCCTGCTGTCCACCGTCAGGCAGGCCCACAGATGCCACAGGCGTGTGACTCACGGGCCATGTGGAGCCTGCTGGCAGTGAGGCTTCCTCCCCTCCCCACCCCAGCTTGCTCCAGCGCCGCCATTTACGTCATGGGTACGTGGCCTGCAGTTCACAGACCTACAGGCCCATCCTGTTGACTGCATACCCAGTGAGGCTTAGGGCCTGCCAGAGGTCACCCAGCAGGTTGAAGTGGAGTAGGAGCTTTTGGCCCAGGGACAGAGCTGGGAAGGAGGCAAGTCCCCCACGAGACCACCTGAGGGAAAAGGGCCAGATAAACAGTGGTAGGTAGAAGGCGCTGCAGCTCACAGCCTTCCAACCAGGAGTAGAGAAACAGGTAAGAGACCAACAGTGACATGAGAATTTCAGTACAGCCCAACAGACTAAAGTCAGCCTTCTGAAAGGACACTGGAATTCAGCAAGATGGGTGGAAGGTCCTTTATAGCCTACTCACTCCCATTGTACAGATGGCAGCACTGAGGCTCCGTAACTTGGGAGAAACGCTCAGGCTAAGAGAAGCCAGGGGCTCCTCACGCCCAGCCTGTGAGCTGCTGCAGATTAAGGGGTCATTGGAGATTGGCAAGTGGCCAAGGGAAATCCACCAGGTCCTGGGCCACGTCCATCACCCCTCACTCTCATGCCAGGCAGGGCAGAAGCATCTTCCTGTGCAAAACAAATGATCGTCTCCTCCAAGAGCTGCCTCCAAGGGCCTGTCCTGCCCTTTGCCTTGGGTGATGAGGGACAGACTGGCAGTGCCCTGCTCAGCTCTGCAGTCTGTCCAGGAGAGGCCAAGCTACCAGAGCTCCCTGGAGTGCCAGTGGCCAGGTAAGTGGCGCAGCCTCATGTCTTCTTTCTGGATGTGCTCGTAACAGGACTGGCAGGAGAGAGGCAAGGTTGGGGCCAGCTGGCCTGCCTTATCCCAACCACAGGCCCAGGATCTAGGGCCCAATAGCTGTGTACACCCACCTCCCAACCCAGAGGAGGCGTGTCTCCAACTCAGCCCTCAGCCACAGTCTGCAAGCAAAAGGGGGCCCTCCCTCTCCCACTGTGTTTGGGGATGCAGCCTGGAGTAGTCATGCCCCCGGGTCCCCAGGGCTGGGATGCACTGCGGGACCCCTTCCTGGCTCCTTTAACAAGAGCAGGATCAGGGACGCTTTGAGGACCCTTCCCACAGAGTCACACAGGCGCTGTGAATTTGAGCTCACTCCCACGATGGTGAGATGGCGTCTGGGGAGGTGAGAGGGTCTGCCCCGGGACCGAGGGCATTCCCACCTCCACCCACAGCGTCCCTCACCTCCAGGGCCGTGAGCAGGAAGTCATACAGGCCTCCTGTGTGGATGGGGTCCATCATGTCACGGATCAGGTGGATCTCAGCTCCCAGGTGCTGAATTCTGGAGAACACCGCGCCACGCAGAGAGCGAGGGAGACAGAGAGAAGAGGGCTGTCATGGACAGGCAGCTGGGGAAGGACCCCTGGCCTGGATGGCTGGACACCTGGGGTGTGGTCCTCACTCTGCCTCTAGCACCCCAGTACCCCAGCTGGGACCCTCCCTTTTCTGGGCCTTGGCTTCCCATCTGTACTGAGAAAAGCCGCATTCATAAACGCTGGGGTTTAGAAGTGTCGGAAGATATCGTGGCAGGGTTCGGCTGGGACCCTGCCCCTGCCCCTGCCCTGCATCCCCAGCTCCCGCCTGTCCACCTCACCGGGCACGTGACACCACGTAGATGAGCAGCGGCAGCAGGTCGTCCATGGGCAGCTTGTACTCCCGACCCAGCACCCGCGACACGGTGCCCTCAATCTCCCCGTACGTCCTCTCCAGCACCTCCAGCTTCTCCCGTGGATCCACCGTGGTCCTGCAGCAGGGTAGCTGGCTCCAGGCCAAGGCCCTTGGTTCTGTCCCAACCAGGAGTCCCCCACACTCTGCCTCCGGACCCCCACCCCACTACCGCACACACTCACATGATCTTCTGCAGGCACTCGGTGGCTGACAGGAAGCACTTGTCCCTGACCAGGGAGCACCTCTGCATGGTGGAGGGAGTGGGCTGGATGAGGCTGTAGCCCCCCAGCTCTAACATCCCCTCTTTCCCAGGGCCAGGCTTCAGTCCCTTGCCATCCTCCCCATTTCCACTGCTAGCTTCAGTGCAGCCCCACCCTGCGGGCTGAGTGAGCCAGGGCAAACACAGCTCCACTGTGGGCCTCAGTTTGTGCAACCATAAAACGGGGTGAGTGGTCTCCAGGAGGTTGGGAGGATCCGGATGGATAAGAAGCTAATAATCGTAACAGGCACTGGCCACTGGGTGCCGCCCAGTTCTGAGTGCCTACATCGATGGCTCTGCAACCCAGGGGCTTGTTGAAACACAAGGTCCTGGGCCACTCCCTGGGTTTCTGACTCGGTAGGTCTGGGGTGGGTCCAAGAATCTGCTTTTCTGACAGGTTCCCAAATGATCCTGATGCCAGTCTGGCAGGCACATTTTGAGAACAGCTGCCTCATGTGCCCACTTCACCCTCACAACAACTTTGAGGGAGTTCCGACCAAGCACGGTGGCTCACGCCTGTAATCCCAGCACTTTGGGAGGCCAAGGTGGGCGGATCATCTGAAATCAGGAGTTCGAGACCAGCCTGGCCAACATGGAGAATCCCCATCTCTACCAAAAATACAAAAATTAGCCAGGTGTGGTGGCATGCACCTGTAATCCCAGCTACTCGGGAGGCTGAGGCAGGAGAATCGCTTGAACCCAGGAAGCAGAGGTTGCAGTGAGCCCAGATCGTGCCACTGCATTCTAACCTGGGCAACAAAGTGAGACTTTGTCTCTAAAAATAAATAAATAAATAAATAAATAAATAAAATCAGAATGTTGAGGTGGTTCTAGCACTGGCTCCCTTTAACTGACGAGGAGCTGGGGCATCGTGCTCGAGCCTCTTGCACACAGTCACACGGCCAGATAAGAGCCTGTGTTTAAGAGCCTGGTGCTTAGAGGCCAACAGGTTACCTCCACCACACCGGGAAGTCAGAATGACGGTGTCTCCTCCCGACCCACCCTGCCCCTCCCCAGCTCCCCTGCAGCCTCCACCCAGCAATCGTGAGGCAGAGTGCTCCTGGATGCTAGCAGGACCTCTGGGGGCCCTGGTTCGGGGCTCAGGCCTCCCTCTCACCTGATTGCTCGTCAGCCTGAGGTCCTTGAGGGGCCACAAGTGCCTGAAATCGAAAAAGTGAGACAGGAGGCTTTGCCTGGACAAGGGACAGGGTCTGAGGTCAGAGGGCACATTCCCTGTGCCACTGTGTCCCCCGGCAGAGCCGGGTCCTAGAGAGGGGAAGGAGATCGGCCCAGGGCACAGGGAGGATGGAGGGATTCCTGGAGAAGGCAGCACTCTGGAAGCTCCAGGGAGGCGAGGGCTTGTACCAGCCAGGTCATGGTGGCCGCCAGAGAGAGAGGGCTGAGAGACGGCAGTCGGTCCTGGAGGCTCTGGTGAGCCGGCACAGGGCCGTGAGCCAGGGGTGCAGCCCTCACGCAGCAGAGCTGGAGGCTGTGGTGGGGACGCGGCACTGAGGCGGCGGGGGAGGGAGGGCACGCTTGGGAAGCATTGGCAGCCAAGTCTCCAGGCCGGTGGCTGGTCACATGCAGGACACATTCACCAAGATAGAGGAGGAAACAGGGATTTGCAGGGTGAGTGGGAAGCACCATCCCTGGCAACAAGGGAGGCCGGGATGTGGGAGCAGGGAGGGTGCCCGTGCCCTCCACTGGGGACAGTGGGGTCACTTGTGGCGTCAATGGATAGATGGGACACTGAGGAGACAGGACATTTTGGAGACTGAGGGTGGAAGGGGGGCCCTGGGGTGTGGTCAACACCTCCTGACTTGTACCCAGAACAGTCATCGGTTTCCCCTGAGGGATCTCCTCTCCTCTCCTCTCAGCCCAAGTGCCCAGAGAGGTGACCTTGCAGAGGTGACCTTGCCCCAGCCTCAGCAGTGGATATTCAGGCAGGCCTGGTCAATCACGGCCGGCATTCAGGGGTGGGCTCAAGACCCAAGCAGAGCCAGAGAGGGACTTCAGGGGCTCTGTGGGAGCTGTGGGAGGGCAAGGCCAGCTCCTGCGGGGACTCCAGGAGTGGAGCGGTTGGTGCTTACGGTGTTTGTCACCACAAGGGGGAGCCTGAGAAGGACCAACAGAGATAAATAGAAGGTGCTTCCCTCTGTCATTCCGTTGAGCACCTAGATCCGGCCACACCTGAATGCATAAGCTTAGAACTTGGTGGGTGCACGAGCCAATCAACCCCAGCCCCACCTTTTGGCTGAAGACAATCTGAGTTCTGCCATCTGCTACACTAGAGTCCTAGCTAACACGGCACTGGGGGAGGGAAGGCTTACTTCTGCACATCCAGGAACTCCAGCAGCTGGGTGTCGGGGAAGAGGCTCAGGTTGGCGATGCCCTGGCTGTAGAAGCTGTCCTCCCGCTCGTGAAGCAGCAGGTAGAGTGTGAAGAGCTCTGAGTAGAAGCTGGGCAGCATGAGGGGCAGCACCAATCCATGCACCTGGAGGTCCCTGAGGGGGAGACCGGAACAGGTCGGGATGAGCAAGGTGGGGTCTGGGATCACTACTTGGCGTCACCTCTCAAAGAGCTCCCAGTCCCACAACAGTGTCCCGGCCTCCAGCCTCCTCCTCTGCAGAAAACCTTTTCCAAGCCTGTTCTCAGACATCATTTTCCCAATTTAATTCATAACCTCATTCCCTCCTTTGACTTGGACAGCCAAGATGGTAGGACGGGTGGGAGTGTGATCCCCATTTGACTGAAAACAAAACCAGGGCCCCTGATGGACGAGCAGCTTGCATCCAATCCCTCAGCAGCCATTCCACGCTGATTCAGTTCCACCTCCTGGCTTGCAGTGCTTCCTAGGACTCTAGGGGAAGTTCTCCCTAATGTCTAACCCCCTTTTCCTTGCCCCCTGCAATGCAGTGACAGGAAGGCCTTTCTGATCAGGAACATCTCCAGGCCTGAAATCTAAGGACAAATTGTAAAGTTTGCTCCAGGGACTGGGGGAGACAGACTTAATGACCCACCTGGCTCCTGTCTGACCTCAGGCTCATCCCTGCCAGCCCTCAGTTTCCCTATCTGTGTGCAGGGAAGGGAGGGTGCCTCGGGGAGCTACTCACCCTCCGCATGGGAAAGATGAGATTGGGATCATACATTTGGAACAGAGATGCATTCAATGCACTGTAGCAGTGGCCCCTCCCTGGTTCCTCACAGAACAAAGGTCATGGGTCATTCTAATCCACAAATGATGTGCAATGCTTGGTCAATAGCATGAATGCCCAGCACTTCCGCAGAAGCACCTCTTTCCCCAAGGGAGGGCTCAGGGGCAGGTGCATGAGGCCTCCCTGGACTCAGCGGACCCCAAGGAGCCCTGGGCCAGTCACCTTGTCTCTGCGTCTTCATCCTCCTCCAGGGTCTGGCCCTTGCGCTGTAAGGCAACTCGCAGGAGACTCCTGTGAGCCAATGAGAGAGAAATGGCGTGGCTGCCACCTCCCACAGAACTGGAGCTCCACCGCCAGTCGGCAAAGACAAGAGCAGGCCGCCTCTCAGAACTGTGGGCATGGCCTGCAGGCTTCCTCCTCTCAAACCGCGGCAGTTAGAAGGCTGGAGCTCCAGGATGTCAGCCTGAGAATCCTGGAACCCCAGCAGCAGAAGGAACTACAGCATCTAAGGCTTCTATTTGCAATGTCTGATGGGGTCACAGCTCAGCTTGGGACTGCAGATGTGTTCCGAGTCCAGGGTCAAGCTCAGCCTACAGTGGGGTGAGAGTGCCCCTGGGTCAGAGTCAGCCCAGGGCCTGGCTGGGACGTGGACTCTAGCTGAGGACTGCAGCTGGCCCTTGCTCTCACCTCCCCACCCTGCAACCCCTCTGCTCAGCAGCTGCACACTGACCAAGCCTCTGGTTCATTGTTGAATCGGATTTGGGGTAGAGACACTGGCACTCCTTCCAGGTGCAAGGCAGAACAGATGCCTGGAAAGGGCAACGCCACTCCCCTGGTGTCACAGAGCAGTGGCTGTCCCAGGTGCCACCGAGCTCACCTGTAGGCGGCCCAGAGTTCCCGCGCGTGCTGCTTCACCTCCTCCTGGGCCAGCTCCTGCAGGTGCTTGTTGGCCCCGACACCTGCGTAGGTGGCCTGGAAGGTCAGCATCAGTGTCCGGAGCAGCTTTCCCAGGGGGTGCAGTGAGTTGCTCAGAGCCTGGGCCAGTGCACAGGGAACCGAGAGAGACTCAGCCCCAGGGTCTGGAGCACAGCACGCCCACACCACCTCACACCACTTCTCCCATCCCATACATGGGAACAGAGGTCCTCTGAGCCCACAGACCTGTTCCCTTACAGTCAGCACCCTGCTATGAAAACTAGGAGCCATTTCCCACCACGGGCAGTGAGAATGTCACCCCCTTGACCACCCCGGCAGGGCTCTCACCTTCCTGAGGTACGGCTGCAGGGCCTTGGACTCCCGATGCTGCAGCAGCTCCTCCAGGATGTCTTCCATACTGCCCCCACTGTCCTTGGGGTGGGCCCTGGGCACCACAAAGAGCGTCCCTCACCCACGCCTGGGCGCAGGCCCCTCCCCCCAGGAAGCCTTCCTCCGCGCCACCCTGACCTGTGCGTGTGCGCACAGCTGGGCCTCACCTCTCGCAGCACAGGTAATCCTGAGACTTGCGCAGCTTCCTGGAGCTCTGCACGTGGAAGCCCAGCAGGGCCTCCTGCAGGTCCCCGGGGCAGCCAGCACACACAAAGTCCCGGAAGGGGCTGTAGACTCCCTGCCAGCGGCTTTCCACAGGGAAGGCACCCAGGCCCAGCTGCCTGCGATGGGGGTGGAGGGTGGGTGACAGGGCAGGGAGAGATGGAGCTTCGGCAGGCAGGACTCTGCCCAGGCTCTTGGGGGTACCAGCCTAGCCCAGGATCAAGCCCCAAGAAGGGTGGATGGATTGAACCATGCAGAGGTGGCTGACCTCCATGGCTCCAGGAGAAAGAGCAGCAGAGAAAGGGACAGACAGAATCTACCCTGCGGTGAGAAGAGAGACAGAAGCACACGGAATCCTGGAAAGATGGAGACAGAAAGGCGGGCAGATCTGGAGGCCAACCCAGAGAGTGGGTCGTGGCCCAAGAGAGACCAGTGCCCAAAGTCTGGGATTCCCCTCCAGGACATCCCGCTCTGCCCTCCCCGACAGCCGGTTCCTTCCTACGGTTGATTCCACCTTGGCCAACAGGCCGGGGCCTGGCTCCACGTGTCTGTTGGAGCCCTGCACTCCAGTCTCCTGCTCATAGGCTACCCCATACCTGCAGCTTACACCCACACCCGGGCTGGAGCCTGCCCCTGGGGACTGCTGTCCATTCCCTGTCCACTCCTGCTGTCAGGGAGAAGCAGCATGCAGGGACGGCGGGCCAAGTAGTCAACTGTACTCCCTCCCTACGTCTGAAATGCTGCCGGGGACCTCTTCCCATTAGAACTGCCACCGACACAGATTCCTTCCTCTGTGCAATACTAAGTCTTCCTCAGCAGAGGCGGCAAGAGCAACAGTTTTGCAAGGAGAAACACCATCCCCACAGGAAAAGAAGTCTATCCCCCTCTCAAATAATCCTTGATAATGACTCTGATTCAACTTAGCAAGTTTCCATCTTTACCTTGGCTGCCAGGAAACTCACCCAGGCTAAATGATCAGTCATAAATGGTGTAGGGCCCATCTGCCTATCCCTTCCTTTTAAGGTTAGCACATCCTCTTATTTTTTATTTTTTTCCTGTGCATTTAGTTTGTAAAACGTATTGTATATTTTTGAGACAAAAAAAAAAGCAGGGTCTAAGCAAAGCCTACAAATAGTATTTTTCTCCAGTTTTGTAGTGTCCAGCATCATATCCACGTAGCCCCTGATTGCAAGAGTCTCTGACTGGAGTTGTGCTGGAGTTGTGCACCCTGTGCTCTCTGAACTCTCTAGAGTGCCAATGGGGGGTGCAAAACATCCCCTCTGATGAGACCTGAGTCCTTGGAGTGGAAACACAGACACATTCTCAGATAGGCCCAGAGCCAGGGGACCAGGCACTCACCTCTTGCGGGTGCTGCTCGGGTCTGGTGGGAGGGCGGCCGTGTCCAGCACACCCTGTGTGTGCAGTCCTCTCCCTGCCCCACTGCCAAACGAGCCCTCCAGGGTGAAGCCATTGGGGAAGGTGACCTTGCCCTGGGAGCCAGCAGAGGGAGCAGGGATATCTGTCTGCCCCGCTGTGCTTCCAGCCAATTGTGACAGGTCACATGCCTGTCCCTCAGTGTCACAGAGGCTAAGGACTGAAGAGTGGGCTTCCCGCCATCCACTCAAGCTACCCCACCCTGAGGGGTTCATAACCCCCTACCAACAGCTGCGCCGTGTCCCAGGGGCTCGCTGGCCTCTGAGCTGGGAAGAGGAGGGAGATGGAGAAGGGACACAGGCAACAGTGGGGAGATCACCACTGAGGGGCTGGGGTGGGGTAAGCTCAGGGACAGGCAAAGCGGGGCCTTGCTGCCTGGGGCTGTCCCATTCATAGCAACCCAGTCTCCGCCCCTTCACTCCAGTCATTACAAAACTGAAACAGCCCCTACATTTCTAAAGGCCCCGGACACATTGCCTTCTGCTGGGTCCTCTCAGGGAGGCACAGGTTGAAGGCCAGTGCCTCCAGGGACAGCTGCTCAAGACACTGGTGCTGGTGGAGGACATGTATTCTGAGCTAGAAGGACACGGGGGACACAGCCAGGAGACCACTTGCACCCTCTGGACAGCAGGCAAGACCACCAGTCCCCCCTCACCTCACTCCAGAATCAATTGTAACCCTGTGGCAGGGAGAAGTTGCTGTGCCCACCCCTTGGCTGCAACGGAGGTGGGACAGGGCCTCCCCTACCTGCTCCCGCATCTGTCTGTATCCCCAGCCCTGAGTCCAAGCAGGGAGATTACAGACCCCAGCCAAGGCCTCGGCGGGGTGAGGAGTGGGGCCTCGGTGGTCCTCACCTTCCCCATGAGGGTCAGGTCCCTGCTGAAGCTGCCCTCATACAGGGAGTCGTCTTCAGAGAGGAGGATGCCTGCGCCCTTGGGGAGAGGAAGCCAGGGAGGGTAGAAGTGGTGGGTTAGGAAGGGCCCAGAAACTCGGGGTGGGGAGAGATGGCAAAAAAAAAGGAGGTGTGCCCTGACACATGGGGAGATGGGCTCTAGGCTTCGTCACTCCCCACAGGACTGTGCCTAAGTGGGACTCTAACCTTTGTCCTGCTGAGCACCAGCCCTGAGGACCCCATCGCTGGGTTTCCCAAATGATACCCTCTGCCCTTCTCCTCACCTTAGCGGCATCTCCAGGAAGCTCTTAAGAGCTCAAGGAATGTGTGGCTTTCCTGCTCGTCACTGGCCCTGGGGACCACAGAGCTAACAAGACTCCCTTGCCCCATGGGCTGCTAAGAAGCTCAGAGCCAAAAGGGATACTATTAATGTTCAGCTCAGTTCCGATTCTATTTTGTATACTTATTCTTGCCTTTTCCTCCTCTTTCCTCGAAGGCCTCCTTCAATCCTTTACAGGATGAAGCAGAACGTAAACAAACCAACAAACCATAATAGCAAGAACAGCCATCAGGCCAGAGCCCCACACTCCCCAAGCACCTGGCAGCGTATGGGTGAGGCAAACGTGGGAGTCCCAGGCTCAGCAAACCAGGGTGTGAGTGTCAGCTCTGCCACTCAGTGAAGGTGACACAGAGCAGGTCCTCTGATCCCTCTGAGCCTCTCGTTTGTCATTCACTAGGGACGCACAGGGGATAACAGTGACATCAACCTGTAGGGCTCTTGGGAGGATCCCACAAGATCAGGGTGGGAGCTTAGCCCAGAGCCGGGTCTCAAGTTAGGGCTCTACAAATGTCAGCTAACGCATCATCATGAGTACACGCCCTGTTCTCGCTAGTTCACTGAGCCTACGGTAAGCATTCTTAACCCGAGTTGCTGATGGGGAAACCAAGGTCGGGCAGAGCAGGGACTGGCCAGGGCTAGGTGTGGTGGGTGGTAGAGCTGGGTCCCTGCCCAGGTCTGGCTCCCTCCAGCACCCAGGAACACAGCCCCCTTTCCCATCCCTCCCTGAAAGGCCTCAGCTCAGCCTCAGGGCCCCCAGCGGGAGTGGGGTGCAAGGAAAGGGTAGCCCAGGACACACTCCACTCACCACGATCTTGTCCGCCTGGAAGGTGCCCTGGTAGCAGACACCTGCCTGGGTGACCATGACTCCCGGGCCGTGGCGCTGACCAGCCTGCCACATGCCAATGTAGCGCTCACCCCTGGAGGGAGAGGGATGTGGACGGAGTTGGATCAGACTAATTCCTAGGCACCTCCTGGGTGCTCTGCTGGCACAGGGCATCACCTGAATCCACTCAACAGACACAGGGCCAGAGAGATCAGACCCCCAAGGAGAACAGAGGGTGGAGGAGGGAGGGAGGCAGCCTAGGAAGGGGATCCGGGAGGTTTCTCTGTGGAGATGGCAGGAAGGACAGGTGGAATAGGGGCATGTGCAGAGCCATGGAGGTAGGAGCTTGCGATAGATACGTGGGGATTCAGTGGTCCAGAAAGGCTGTAGGGGTGCACAGGAGGCAGCTGGGGTGAGGTCAGAGAAGCAGGCGAGGCCATGATTGCCCGGCCAAGGACCCAGGGCTTTATCACACGGCCCAGAGACCCGGCAAGCGCTGCAGTTTTTAGATGCAACCGAGCAGCGGTCAGAAACACCTCTCCAACACCATGAGGAGGGGCGGGGGGTGGGAGTGACCTTGCAATCAAGGTGACCAGGACTCCCACAGCCGGAGCCTCTGTGGCAGCTGAGGGACTGGAGGGAAAGTGAGGGGCTTCAGAGAGACACAGTGGGGGACAAACAGGATCCTGCGTCCTGCGGCAATGTGGTCTGTGAGGCTCCTGTCCGCCCCTCCGTCCTGGGAGTGTGGCTGTGGGGCACTCACCTGTCACTGTCCTCCTCAACGCCATAGCCGCTCTTCTGGCCCCTCTCCCAGTGGCCCGTGTATCTGAAGGGCTGGGGGGTCTGTGGGCCACTCTCAAGGACCCCAAAGCCGTGCCGCAGGCCCTCCTGGAAGTAACCCTTGTACACCTCGTCGGTGCTGTACCTGGGGAGGGTCATAAATAGCCAGCCCTGCCTCATGGAGCTCAGCCCAGAGGATGGGCTCATCCCATGAGTCCCTCAGCCAGGGCCACTTACTCACAGATGCCGTAGCCACACATAATGCCGTCTCGCCAGTGACACTTGTAACAGTCGAACCTGTCCTCCGAGGCCTGGGGCAGCAGGCAGATGCCGAAGCTGACAGCGTGGTTGTGGGAGGGGGGATCAACCCTGACCTGAGACGCCAGTCACACCGGCTCCAGGCCACCCAGGAGTATCCCTGCCCCCAAGGAGCCTTCCGGACAACAGGGAGAATCTGAGGCCCTCAGCCTTCCTATTCTTCAAAGGGCCCCTCTCAGGACCCCCTCCCTCCAGGCTGTCCCCATGCACCCTGGAGCACCTTTTGGCCTGTACCACTCCCTCTGTGACCTCGAGCTGAGACGGGCCCCCTATTCGGGGCCTTGGTTCCCCTTTTGTACAGCGAGGGGGACTGGACCAGATTGTCTCTAAGTTCCTGCTTGAGGGTTGGGAATTCAGGAAGGGGCCCGCTGGTGACCACAGCAGGGAAGGAAAGCACTCCCTGCCCACCACATGCCCCGCAGCAGCAGCCCCAGCCAGCCTCACCCGTGCTCCAGGCCCTGGCAGAAATTCCCCGCGTGATTCCGCCCATCCGGCCATTTCAGGGTTCCCCTGGAACACAGTGGAGGTTCACAGGCCTCAGGCCCTCCCATCCCTCAGCAACCTCAGCCGCAAACTTTCTCAGATGCCCTTCCTTCCTCTTCCCTTGAACTGGACTCTCTGCACCCACCCAGTCCTCTCGTCTGAGCTCCAAACACTCCCTCAGAAAGCCCCTTTAGCCCTTTTCTACTCCTGGCCCAACTGCACCAGCAGCCTCATGGGGCACACTCACCACATCCCATAAGGAAAGCCCTGGAGACATCTAGGTTCTCTTTTTCCCTTGACCAACGGGAAGCTCAGACCTAAGCATCAAGCTCAAGTTTAATGCCAGTCAGTGGGGTTTCTACCATCTTCCTCCCCACTTCTGTGTTTTTTCTGTCCTTTTGTTCATAAGCCTCCTCAAGCCCTTTCTGGAAGGAGGCAACGTATTAGAAACTAGCAGAGGTGGCTGGGCGCGGTGGCTCACGCCTGTAATCCCAGCACTTTGGGAGGCTGAGGTGGGTGGATCACAAGGTCAAATATCGAGACCATCCTGGTCAACATGGTGAAACCCCGTCTCTACTAAAAATACAAAAA